GCTGCTGCTATTGATCTGAACCTTGAAAAATACTATCAAACAAAGTTGTTTCTAAGAGTGGGGGGTTGCATTCCTACCTTGTAGCATTCTTTTGAATAATTTCATTATTCAGATTAATATTTAAAGGTAACTAAGCAGCAAAACTGACCTGTGACAACAACTCTGATGTAGGCTATAGAGAAAATCTGCTAGAAACAAAGACATCCTAAATACTGCCACAAGAATAAAAGCAGATGATGCAGAGTGTGTGACGTGCAGTCATGACTTGCTCAAGAGCTGGGCATTTGTGGAAGCATTAGGGATTATATTCCAAGGGTGAGGTACCCCACCAACTCCCCAAGAATTTGCAGCAGGGCAGGAAACCCAATCAGCATGCTGCAGCACAGCATGGCCAAATTTCCCAGCTTTGCAGCCTGCTTGGTTCTAGGGAATAGGGGAAAATGAGAAACCTGTGGCTACTCTGTTTCCTCAAGCTAGTGATGAGCCCACAGCCTTACAGTTCTTCACATTAAGGCAGCACCCACCCCCTTTCTTGCCTTCAGTGAGAGCTACACACCTACACCTTCCACTGCCATCAACGGGAGGAGCGCAAGCAGAGCCAGAGAACCCGCTGCACGTCACAGAACACTGCTCAGCCCCAGCACAACACCAGCTGCCGATCCTGCTGGCCTCTCAGCTAGCATTCAGGGTCCTGGCTCCAGCCTGTGTTTGAGATGGGTTTGCGTGCTGGGGTGACAGTGGCCATAGCGATACACATCCTGGAGTGACTCCATTCAGCACTTGCTACTGGGGATTTGACATTGTCAGATACCTCTTGGGCTTGAGTTCCTATGGCTTTTCCTCCAGGGTGATGGCGAAGCCTCTCAGCCACCACTGATACCATGCTGGTTCCCACAGCAGGGACTCTTCTGGGAGTTAACACGCAGAGTGTGTACATTTCCCAGCACTGACACAGAAGCCTGACCCTCAGATCTCTGATCACAGCACCCTAAACCACAAAGCACTCAGTTCCTTACACACCTCTGATGGATTCTGTTATCGACTATGGAGTTCCCTATTGCTACCTCACACTGACCCTTCAGCTTTGTTTTCCTTCACTGCCACCCACTCGCCCTTCTTCCTACTCTGGGTTTCTGATCACAATTCCTCTCTCTAGCATCACACTGGGTATCATATCATTTCACTTGCTAGACCTGCGTAACTATAGGCTGCTACCAGAACAGCTCACACAGTGCACGAGGATTTTCACTTGCTCCACTTGTGGCTGCAAGGCAGAGTGCTGCCAGCTGAGGACAACTGACCTATAGGGACCTGGCAGATTTCCAGGCCCTTTGTTCCTTCAGTATGGAAGGATAAAGCACTCTGCATCACCTGAGAGCAATAATGATTCTTGCAGTCAAGATAAAGCTGGTGAATCAGTTAAAGAGGGTGTCATGTTCTCCCCCACCCCAGCTCTCATGAGTAAATAAGACACTGAGTATTTTGGTGCTGCCAGCATGAATGTGATGTCAATTGAAAGGCAAAGGCTGCTCAGCCCTTTGAGTGTCTAGGGTACATGAGAGCAGCTGCTTGCTCCTGCTGCACGGTGCTTTCCAACTCAGCTGCAGGACTCCAGCAGGTATCAAAGCCAGCAGTATTCACCATCAGTCTCTCCCGTTTGCAAAGGAAAATAAGCCTTATCCTAATGAGCCAGAAGGGACACATGGTTATTTTTCCTTCTTAAAACTTGCTTGCTGTGGACTACGTGTCACACTCACCTTAGCCTGCAGAGCCAGGACACTGTTAACGTTTAGAACACACACACACGTGTCTTGAATCTCTACAAAACACAACTGCGTATCTGTTGATCCATGTTTTACCAGCTCTAGTCCTGCCTGCCACATTTCGTCTCCCTGTCTTCTGAATGAAAACACTTGTTTCCCTTACAAAAAGTGTAAAAAGTTTCAGCTCTGTGGAAAACAAGGATGTCTTCCTTGAATGCATGTTAAATTTATGTTTTTGTGGAAACAAACATCATGTGCTAAGCCTTTCAACTTGGTTTCAGTGCTGGCCAAGGTCTTGCCAAGGATGAGGCATATACTGACTTAATCCCATCTTGCTCTCATGCATGCAAAAACACACATTTACCACTTTATAACCAAGCCATCCCAATGACTCAAACTCTGTTTGTGACAAAATCAGTTTGTTCCAGAACTGGAGCTTCATTAGGTAGATAAACATAACAAAATGAGGTTCCTGTCTATTTAGTAGAAATATTTTTAACAGTTAGTTAAAGAAAGAGTTTTAGCCACATCACGTTTACCCTTAAACCCCAAGAAATTATGAGATTGAAAATCTTAATATATGATTAGCAGGGTTTTTTCTTAGGCAAGAAAAAAATCCATAGAAGTTTTAGATTTTAGAATGAAATACTTATTTAAAATAAATATTCACAATGATGCAAACAGGGCACCTCTGGCTAAAAGACAAAGACAAACCAGGGGGCAAAGGCAAACAATGGCCCATCAGGGGTTAGATAAAAAGACCATTACAAAGAAGGGGCCTCTGAAAAAACGTGATTCAACCCCCTGCTCAAAGCAGTGCTAACTTTGATCAGGTGACCAATAATTTGCTTCAGGTCCAGCTTTGAAATTTAGAATATAGTAACAGAATTACCACAACATCTAAATGTTGATCTTTGTGGTAACCTTGTACCAGTGGTCCCGTCATAGCAACACAGAGCTTTTTATCTCAGGTGTCCATAATTCTGTTTGGAAGAGAGCAACAGAGAAGGTCCAAAGGTTTTGACTTGCCAAAGCAAGAAGTGTCCTACACACAGCAACAAAATAATTTTCTTCCCTCAACTCTTGGGTCCCTCTCTTCCCAACTGTTCATAGTCATACTAACATAACATTACAAAATAAGCCATTTGTAACAACTGTCTGTTCAGGGCATCATTTGGTAAAAAGTGAGTTTGCTTCAAGGAGCAATGGGGATTTAAGGTTTAATATTTGCTAATATTTGGAACACAAGCATCATTGTTAGTAGCGGTTCTTGAGAGGTAGGAGAACAGCTAGCGCAAGAGCACTTCAAAATAACACCTCCTTAGGTTTATAATCAACCGCCTGACTCCATACTTTACATCCCAATAAAAGCACATATTCCTTGTCAGCTAGCAGCAGAGCACTGCAATTGCCAGACATGCAGCCGTTCCACCAGTCACGCTGCGTTTATAGCTCAGTGCTGTTCTGCTGGGCATGGCCTGGTATCAGAGATGACAGAAAAGATCACACATCTTCTAAGCCCTGTGCTCCACTCTCATGCTGAGAATTGCCTCTTGGGTTGCAGAAGGTCTGGGACCCAGAGGGAAGGTCCTGAGAAGATCATGTAATGACAAAGTGCCATACATTCAGTGCAAGAGTTAGAACAGAGTACCACTTTTCTCCTATCTTCCCTCCAGAGGCTTTTGTAAGGTGGGATAATACTTGGTATTTGAGTGACCACTGAGAAAAGGCAAGCTTGTTTCTTGTGGCACTAACAGACCTAATGTTGTTCAACAGGAAACAGCAGAAGTTCATTGCTTTCTAATCCCTTATCCAGGAAAGGAGAGGAAACAGAGAAGCAGAACCTGAAGACTGCAATTCTTACTTTCCAACAGGAATTTCAAATGAAATTTTGGATGGTTATAAGCAATACAACCCTCACCCCTGCCATCGGCTGCCAGAAGAAAGCACTGGGCAACACCAAGCAGCTTTAGTCTACAGGAGAAATAGATAGCCCTCTCTACAAAATAATTCAATGCACCAGTGGAGAAAGCCTTCTGTAGCACAGATAACTCATTCAGCTGTTAGAGCAGTGAGGACTCAAAGCACATTCTTTTGCAACAGTCACACTTACTTTATTATGCTCTTTGGTCTGGAAGTTTACTATGAGAAAGTCAGTAGCTCTGGCACAAAGAACAATTAGGATTTGTGTTATATATACCATGTTATATCCATTTTCATCCGAAATAGTTTAAATAATAAAAATCCTGAGGAAATACTTAGTAGATTTGTCAAAGCAAACATTTTCTGGAGCAATTCAGAGAGCCAGATATCTTAATAAAGAGGTCCACATGAGAACAACCAAATATTGCTCCCAATGAACAGCTGGACAGCATCAATGAAGATTTAGTAATGTTCAGACATCTCCAGTTGGGTCCTTTCACACACCAGCATTGTTCCTGCACCTCAAAGAATGCACAGAAGCCCAGACACTACCAAATAAAACAGAACAGCTTTGATTTATACAGTATCTGTAAGAGTTTTGGGCCATAAGGACTTAAAGTCAATCATTTATTGCACATCAATAGACTCTCTCATCTTTGTTAAAAGAGTTTATAGTGAAAAACTCTAAGCTATCCTCTTGTTCAGAGATTGTCCCAAGCCATTAAATAGTAACAGTGTAATAAAGACAGAAGTAGTGCCCTTCCAGACAGGCTGATCAGCATATTTGCTACAGTAATCCGAATGGAAAAATCTGGAAACAAACAGGCGATGGCTGCAACTTTGTCAGAGCTACAAGTTTCATTTGGATGGCTTTTGCAAGGTGTAGCGATAGGAAGTAGCTGAACTGCATTTTCACATGACCTAGTTGCACTTGCATTGCAATTTTCAACCAAGGCTTGTTAGAACGGAAGTTGTAGTAATAGCCCAAATGCATTTGCTTCTCACCAATCCCTTCTATGAGACTAATTTAAGAACCTGAAAGGGTCAGCATTCAGATAACCTCAACATTATGCTCTTCAAAAACTGTAATAAAAGCTCTGCACAACTTTGAAAGGCATAATATATTTCAGGATAATTACACATTTCAGTTGGAGTATCCAAGGCCTTATGTCAAATCACAGTACAAAACAGAAGGTTGCAGGGAATTTTATGTTATTGAAATAAATCCTAATGGCTCCATAGTCTTGGCAGTATAACGTAAGAGTGGAAGCACTTCTAACTATTACCTTGTTTTTATATTCATCTTTGAGTTGACTATATTCCCGGACTTTGAGAAATTCTGTTTGATTGGTTGTGCAGGTTTGTGTCCTTGTACACAAACCAAACATTGCTGCCCCATAAAACTATATTAAGCAAGCCGAACACCTGTAGGTTAAAAAAAAAGTGAGATTAAGTTTTAAAAAACAAACAAACAAACAAACAAACCACTCAAACCACACACACAAAAGAAAACCCACACAGAGAATAGGACTTCAAGACAAGCCAGAAACAACTGTTATCTTTGGCACCCCTTTCAACTGGGCAAGGCTTTTCCACATGCTTTAGAGTATTACAAGCTGTGTTAACAGACTTTTTTGGAAATCAGACAGCCAGTTTATTCTGTCCTTTGAATGCAATTAGACAAATACTTTTCAGTCACTCAGCACCTCTGCATACACACATCCAGAACACATGTTTAATTATTACTGGGCCAATGAGTGACAGCTAAACTTTTGAAAAGCAGGATTCACTAGGAAAAATCATACAATAAGCCTCATTTGCCCTCCTATGACAAAGTTCTTTCTACAAACATGAGCTTTATATCATTGTATTTCAAGGAACATCTATATTTGGTGTATAAAAATGCTCACAGTAGCTAGGTTCATCACCGAAAGGCAGAACAGGAAGCATATTTTTTCCTCCTTACTCATATCAGTCAAACCACTTGGGCAGCTCAGTAACATATTTTAAGGTGCTCTTGGCCACGGACAGAAATAGCAGATAGTCAAACGTGACTGGAAATGCTGCATCTAACAGCTCTAGAGGCAGATCCTACAAGTTGTTTATCTTCATTCCTTTGAAGAATGGATTTTTATTTTTTTTTAAATAAAGGACTTGGCCAGTGTTTTGCCACAGTATCAATGGACCTGAATGACTGACAGCCCATAAAGCAATCTTAGGACACAGAGCAACACATGCAATCAGTACAACAGGGCCCTCAGGTGCCGTTGGCTATTTTCTAACCCATTTATTGTACCCACATGGCAGAAGACATACATACCACAGACACGTTCAGAGTTCCCATGCTGGTCACAGAAACATAATGACAAGTTGTTGCTGGGGCTTTGCAAGATTCAATTCCTGGAACGATGCTGGCCCCTGTGGACACCTTGATGTCAGCAAGGGCCTTTGCCCAAACAAAAGTACTGACCAGCCACAGAAAGGCTATTATGGCGGTGATAGCCAAGTCCTACGGAAGGACAGAAAATCTCTCATTAAGTTAATAAATTTTCATGACTGTACATTAAGAGAGCAAGGCAGAGATGGTATCAATTATATCATCAAAATAACAGCATCAGTGTCGTGGTTTAAC